CCTCAACATCAGTCTGCCTTCAGCCTCGGCCTCAGCCTGCCTCAGCCTCACCCTGCATCAGCCTCAGCCTCAGCCTCAGCCTGCCTCAGCATCAGCCTGCCTCAGCCTCAGCCTCAGCCTGCCTCTGCCTCAGCCTCAGCCTGCCTCAGCCCTCAGCCTCAGCCTGCCTCAGCAGCCTCAGCCTCAGCCTCAGCCTCAGCCTCAGCCTCAGCCTGCCTCAGCCTCAGCCTCAGCCTCAGCCTCAGCCTCAGCCTGCCTCAGCCTCAGCCTCAGCCTGCAGCCTCAGCCTCAGCCTGCTTCAGCCTCAGCCTCAGTCTGCCTTCAGCCTCGGCCTCAGCCTCAGCCTGCCTCAGCCTCAGCCTGCATCAGCCTCAGCCTCAGCCTCAGCCTGCCTCAGCATCAGCCTGCCTCAGCCTCAGCCTCAGCCTGCCTCAGCCTCAGCCTCAGCCTGCTTCAGCCTCAGCCTCAGTCTGCCTTCAGCCTCGGCCTCAGCCTCAGCCTGCCTCAGCCTCAGCCTGCATCAGCCTCAGCCTCAGCCTCAGCCTGCCTCAGCATCAGCCTGCCTCAGCCTCAGCCTCAGCCTGCCTCAGCCTCAGCCTCAGCCTGCTTCAGCCTCAGCCTCAGTCTGCCTTCAGCCTCGGCCTCAGCCTCAGCCTGCCTCAGCCTCAGCCTGCATCAGCCTCAGCCTCAGCCTCAGCCTGCCTCAGCCTCAGCCTGCCTCAGCCTCAGCCTCAGCCTGCCTCAGCCTCAGCCTCAGCCTGCTTCAGCCTCAGCCTCAGTCTGCCTTCAGCCTCGGCCTCAGCCTCAGCCTGCCTCAGCCTCAGCCTGCATCAGCCTCAGCCTCAGCCTCAGCCTGCCTCAGCATCAGCCTGCCTCAGCCTCAGCCTCAGCCTGCCTCAGCCTCAGCCTCAGCCTGCTTCAGCCTCAGCCTCAGTCTGCCTTCAGCCTCGGCCTCAGCCTCAGCCTGCCTCAGCCTCAGCCTGCATCAGCCTCAGCCTCAGCCTCAGCCTGCCTCAGCATCAGCCTGCCTCAGCCTCAGCCTCAGCCTGCCTCAGCCTCAGCCTCAGCCTGCTTCAGCCTCAGCCTCAGTCTGCCTTCAGCCTCGGCCTCAGCCTCAGCCTGCCTCAGCCTCAGCCTGCATCAGCCTCAGCCTCAGCCTCAGCCTGCCTCAGCATCAGCCTGCCTCAGCCTCAGCCTCAGCCTGCCTCAGCCTCAGCCTCAGCCTGCTTCAGCCTCAGCCTCAGTCTGCCTTCAGCCTCGTCCTCAGCTTCAGTCTGCCTTCAGCCTCAGCCTGCCTCAGCCTCAGCATCAGCCTGCCTCAGCATTCAAAGTGTGGCCCGGGAATGGAGTTCTGGGAACTCGAAGAACACGAAATGGCCTACAGTTGGCTCCGGGCATTCAAAATCATGCCCAGGAATGGAGTTCTGGGAACTCGAACACCACGAAGTGGCCTACAGTTGGCTCCGGGCATTCAAAATGTGGCCCGGGAATGGAGTTCTGGGAACTCGAAGACCACGAAGTGGCCTACAGTTGGCTCCGGGCATTCAAAATGTGGCCCGGGAATGGAGTTCTGGGAACTCGAAGAGCACGAAGTGGCCTACAGTTGGCTCCGGGCATTCAGAATGTGGCCCGGGAATGGAGTTCTGGGAGGTCGAAGAGCACGAAGTGTGTGACTGTATGCGAAAAACGATCCCCCCCGGCAAACCCCAACGGCCCCCCAACGGCTCCCCAACGGCTGCCCAGACCCCCCTGTGGAGTAATGTGCTGCTCTCTTTTTACCCCACTAGAAACCTATCAGTCTTCGCTGTTAGGTAAAAACGCACGTTTTACGAAGGGAACGGGTCAATTGTTGCGTCCAGAGGCCCTCTTGGGACGCATCTTGGATGCCTCTCGGGGCCTCTTGGGGGCATCTTGGGCCGTCTGGAGGCCATCTTCGGTGTTTTTGATCGCTCTTGGACCGTTTGGGGCCATATTGAAGCTCTCTTGGAGGCCACTTGGAGCGTTCCTGGAGCGCTCTTGGGGCCGTCTTCGGGGCCCTCTTGGGCCGTCTTGGGCGCCTGTTGGGCCGTCTTGGGGCCCTCTTGGGCTATCTTGGGGCCCTCTTGGAGGCTTCTTGGGCCGTCTTGGGGCGGTATTGGGGGCCTCTTGGGCCGTCTGGGGGCATCGGAAAGCCCAGAAGGCGCATTTGTAAAAATCGTACGTTTTATAAGGGACATGGGCCAACTTTTGCATTAGGGACCCTCTTGGGACGCATCTTGGAGGCCTCTTGGGGCCTCGTGGGGACCTTTTGGGCCGTCTAGGAGGCCTGTTGGGCCGTCTGTGGGCTATCTTGGGCGTCTTGGAGCGCTCGTTTGGCGTCTCGGGGCCCTCGTGGGCCGTCTTGGAGGCCTCTTGGGGCCTTCTCGGCCTGTCTGTAGGCCCTCGTGGGCTCGGAAAAGCCCCGTGGTGCGCTCGTCCGGGGCGAGGGGAGGGGGGGTCGAATCTCCGGTTTTGGGTCCCTGGGGGGGGGGTATGGGGGGGGGGGGAACTATCTCACACGCCTAAAGACCCACAAGGGGTCGGCGGATTTCATTGTCAGCTTTCTTGTGGTCTGTCTTCGAAATGCAGTCTTAAGTTTGCGTTAGCGTGCGCTACCGTCTGGTAGTCGATGACACAGTGTTGATTTCAAGCGTCGGTTGTAGTGTTGATTGAGCGTCGATGAGCATCAATGTAGTGCCGATTCAGCAAGATGGTACGGGAGGCTCCCATGAGTTGCCGCAGAAACTGGGCGACGAGAGCTATACGGCTGATGGACAAAATCCTGCACCGCCCGCGTGACCTTCAGCGCGCCCCCGGTTCAATGTTTGCTCGCCCTTGTGCCCCCGGTTCAATGTTTGCTCGCATCGCCAGCGGGGTGCAGGATCTCGGACAGTCGGCGGAGCGACACAGCGCGTGACAGCCCGGCACTATCTGATTGGAGGCGCGGGGGTGTTCACAAACATCAACATCCACCGAACGCTATCGCTATCGCTATCGCTATCGGCTCGATGTCCAGTTGGACGCAGCCGTCCGCGCGGCCGAAGCTACGCGCGCGCGCCCGAGGCGCGTGGGGGGGGGTCACCCCCCGACACATGCTCCCGCCAGAGGGGCTTCCACCGAACGCGTTCCACTTCTCGCAGAGTGCCTACTTGCAAACTTTGCGCCAAGTGCCTTCTCGCAGAGTGCCTACCATGAATCGTAAGTTCCTTGCGGCGGATCCAGGCTATTGCGATAGCCTTACGGCCGATGCCGCCGACCTTGAAGGGGGACGATGAACGACGACGACGACGACGACGGCGACGGCGACGACGATCGCGAGTCCTTGTTGGGGCCTTCCCGGGCCCTCTTGGGCTGTCCTGGGGGGCCTTTGGGCCGTCTTAGGGCCTTCCCGGGCCATCCTGGCGTGTACTTGGGCCGTTCTGGGGAGCTCTCGGAGGCAACTGGGGCCGACGTGGAGTGTGTGAAGCCTGGAAGTCGAGCAGGCGAAAAAACATTGGCGATTTCGGGACTTCCTGGTAGCCTCTTGGAGTGGGGAGCTTGAAATGTGGGTTGGTTTTCCCCCGGGGCTCTGTTGGGCGTTCTCGGTCGGAGAAGGGGGAGGGGGGGGGTCACGATTCGCAGGACGCTTCCAGGGACCCCGCGGGATCTTCTCCTCCCTCTCACCCTCCCCCGGGACCTCCCCTCTGTCGTGAGGAAAGGATTACATGAACGGGGTCCCCTTCGAGTCGATTACGCTGTTGTTCGATTCTCCTCTGGCTGGAGCGTTTGAGGAGGTGGGCCGAGGGAAGAGGGGGGGTGGTTCTGGGAGGCTCATGCAGGTTTCAGTGTGGTGCGGGGGAAAAACGACGAAGAGCGAGGGGGAAACAGAGAAGGAGGAGGATGAGGAGGAGGAAGCAGAGGAGGAAGAGGAGGAGGATCGAGGATCGGGGTTCGAGTCGATGTTTCATTTTTCATTGTCTTTTTTGGGGGGGGCTTTCTGGAAGCCTCCGAGGATTTCTGGGGACGTCCTGGAGGCGTCTTGGGCCGTCTTGGGGCCCTCTTGGGCCGTTAGGGGACACTTTTGGGCGCCTCTTGTGGTGTCTCGGGGCGATATCGGGGGCCTCGTGGGCCGTCTTGGCGCGTTGGCAAACGTCAGGGGCAAGAGCGCTAGAATCCTTCAAACACGTAGAGAAAATCTACGATGTTTGCCTCTTGGGGCTCTCGTGGGAAAGCTCCTGGATGCCTCTTGGGGCTTTTTGTAGGCCTCTTGGGCCGTCTGGAAGCCGTGAAGGCGTCTTAGACAGATCGTCAGGCGAGTCGGGGTTCTCGTGGACTGTCTGTGGGGCATATTAGACCACACTTGGCCCTTTTTGGAACTCTTTTGAGCTCCGGGAATCCCAGGGAGAGCGTCGTATCTGACCCCCCCCCCTCGGGACCCCCCCCCTACCCCCCCCCCCGCGGGGGAGGGATCGAAGGGAAGGGGCTTCCCTTCGACTCCATTACGGCGTTCCTCAACGCCTGGGAAAGGAGGGGAAGAGGACGACAGCCACGACGACAAACGAATGACGGGCTGAGGCCGTCCCTGGGAAAGGGGGGGAAGATGACGACAGAGACGACGACAAACGAATGACGGAGATGACGACTCGGACGGACGAAGCCGCTCACACACGCCGACAGGGTCGGTGGATTTGCGAGTAGTTACTCCAGATTTCGTAATAAAAGGGAGGGGGTCTGGACCCTCCAAGACAGGCCATTTCAGACCCCCCCCGTGGGAGAATCCTCCAAAACATCGTCCCCAGACCCCCCCAGGCCCTCCAAGATAGCCTGGAAGAGACCCCCCCCGAAATGAGACCCTTCTCCCTTTATTACGATACCTGGGGTATTTTGCGAGCAGTGGAACTCTCTTGCCTTCACGTGAAAAACTGCAGCACTCAGCCGTGCAGGCAACAACCGGCGCAGGCGCGAGCGAACAGCCGGACCCCGCCGCCCCCCCCCCCGCGCAGGCGAGGGCTTCGAGGCCCTCCCGCCGGCGGCGGCCTCCCGCCGGCTTGCCGGCGGCCGGTTGCAGCTGCAGCAGCAGCAGCCGCCGCCACCGCAGCAGCAGCAGCAGCAGTCGTAGTTCAGGAGCGAAAGAAGGACGTACATGTACATGCATCCACGCTGGTTTCGAGAGTACGCATTGCGCAAATCTTCGTATAACGCGGCCGGTCTCGTGGATCGAGGGGCCGTGTTCATGTACATAGCTGGGCGCATACGTCCTTTGTGGGCTCCCTAGTAGTGGTTGTTGCGGTTGTCGCCGTAGAAGTCGCCGCCGCTGTAATCGCCATCGCCGCCGTCGCAGTCGCCGCCCTCGTCGCCGCCGTCGCCGCCGCCGTCGCCGCCTTCGTCGCCGTCACCGGGCGCTGGTGGCACTTGAAGTCACCACCGCCGTAGTCGTAGCCGTCACCGTCGCCGCTGCCGCTCTCGTCGCCGCCGCCACCTTGATCGCAGCTGTCGCTGGCGCCGCCGCCGCCTTCGTCGCCGCCGTCGTCGCCGCCGTCCCTGTCGCCGCGCTCTGGTGGTAATAGAAGTCGCCGCCGCCGGAATCGCCGCCGTCGTCGTCGCCGCCGCCGCCGCCCTCGTTGCCGCTGTCGCCGCCGCCGCCGCCGTCGCCGTCGCTGGGCGCTGGTGGTAGTTGAAGTCGCCGCCGCCGTAATCGCCGCCGTCGAGGGAAGGAGGGAGGGAGGGAGGGAGGGAGCGAGGGAGGGAGGGAGAAGGAGGAGGAGGGAAAACAGGAGGAGGAAGAGGAGAAGGAGGAGGAGGAAGATGAGGAGGAGGAGGAGGAAGAAGAGGAGGAGGAGGAATCATTCATAAGAATAAACATATGAATACTAAGACTAGTAAGGATAATAATACCAATCGTAATCGTAGTACTACTCGTAAGAGGAGGAGGAGAAGGAGGAGGAGGAGGGAAAGGAGGAGAAGGAGGGAAAGGAGTGGGAGTTGGACGAGGAAAAGAAGGAGGAGAAGGAAGTGGAAAAGGAGGAGGAGGAGTTGGAGGAGTTGGAGGAGTTGGAGGAGGAGGAGGAGGAGGAGGAGGAACAGAAGGATGATGATGATGATGAGGAGGAGGAGGAGGAGGAGGAGGAGGAGGAGGAGAGAGAGGAAAAGGAGGAGGAGGGGGAGGAGGAAGAGGAGGAGGAGGAGGGAGGAAGAGTAGGAGGAAGAGGAGGAGGAGGAGGAAGAGGAGGAGGAGAAGGAGTTGAAGGGGTTGGAGGAGTTTCAGGAGCTGGAGGAGGAGGAGGAGGAAAAGGAGGAGGAGGACTTGGACAAGGAAGAGGAGGAGGATAAGGAAGTGGAACAGGAGGAAGAGGAGTTGGAGGAGCTGGGGGAGGAGGAGGAGGAGGAGGAACAAAATGGATGAGGATGAGGAGGAGGAGGGAGAGGAGGAGGAGGAAGAAGAGGAGGACCAGTGCAAACCCAAGAGTCATCAAGGATGTTGGAATGAATCCTCCCTCCAAGCTTCCTCCTCGTAGGCCCCATACAACGGTTCACTCCCATTGAGGGAACTGCCTCGCTGGAAGGCAACAGTTTGAAGGTCTTGAAGCATGCCAAAGCATTCTCTTCGGGATTTCAAAGCCACGGATCAACCTGACTGCTGCTACTTGGCGATCCGAAGTCGTGCCAGAACGCCATGTTTGAGATTCCAACCCCGTGAATCAAGAAAGCAACTGCGCACGCATAATCCTGAACATTTCCCAAACACCATTCCTGGTGCGCTGATCATGGGAACTTGTGAAACTGTTCACAGCGAGTGTGCGCGGCGCTAAGACGAGAGCCACACTGAAAATGGAGCCGCCCTTAATCCGTGAAGCTCTTGCAAATGTTAAACGAATGTGGGCGGCGCTAAGACGAGAGCCACATTTTGAAAAGGAACCGCTCTGAATCCGCGAAAGTCTGGCAATCATTGTTAAACGAATGTGCGCTGCGCTAATGCGAGAGCCAGGTTTTGAAAAGGATCCGCCCTCAATCCGCGAAACTCTTGCACATGTTTCAAAAGAGTGTGTGCGGCGCTTAGGCGAAAGCTACATTTTGAAAACGACCCGCCCTGAATCCGTGAAAGTCTGGCAGTTATTGTTGAAAGACAGTGCGCGGCGCTGAGGCGAGAGCCACATTTTGAAAAGGATGAAGCTTTTGCAAATGTTTCAAACGAGTGCGCGCGGCGCTAAGGCGCGACCCACATTTTGAAAACCACCCGCCCTCAATCCGTGAAGCTCTTGCAACTGTTTAAAACGAGTGTGCGCGGCGCAAAGGCGAGAGCCACATCTTGAAAGCCACCCGCCCTCCATCTTTGAAACTAGGCTTCAGGGTCATAAGTGGTAAGGAAGTCTCAGTCGAAACGCCTGGCCCGCGGGTTAAAATCCAAGAGTCATCGACGACGTTGGAATTAATCCTCCCTCCAAGCTTCATCTTTATAGGCCCCATACAACGGTTCATTTCCATTGAGGGAGCTGCCTCGCTGGAAGACAACAGTTTGAAGGTCCTGAAGCATGCCAAAACATTCTCTTCGGGTTTTCAACGCCACGGATCAACCTGACTGCTGCGACTTGGCGATCCGGAGTCGTGCCAGAAAGCCACGTTTGAGATTCCAACCCCGCGAATCAACGTAACTACTGCGCCCGCATAATCCTGAATCTCTCCAAAACACCATTTCTGGTACGCTGATTATGGGAAGCAGTGGAACCCTTGCAAATATTAAACAACGAATGTGCGCGGCGCTAAGGCGAGACCCACATTTTGAAAAGGATCCGCCCTCAATCCGCGAAGCTCTTGCAAATGTTTCAAACGAGTGCGCGCGGCGCTCAAGGTGCGACCCACATTTTGAACACCCGCCCTCAATCCGTGAAGCTCTTGCAACTGTTTAAAACAAATGTGCGCGGCGCTAAAGCGAAAGCCACATCTTGAAAACCACCCGCCCTCCATCTGTGAAGCAATTGTCACTTTTCAGCTTCAGAGTCTTGAGTGGTGAGGAAGTCTCAGGCGAAACGCCCGGCCCGCTCTAAGAACTGGCTTCAGGGTTGCACAGGGAGAAGTTATTTATAAGGAGAAGGAATGGAGAAGGAGGAGGAAAAGGAGGAGGAGGAGCAGGAGGAGGGGGGGGGCGCACGAGGAGAAACTCTGGGCTTGGAGCTCTTTGGGCTTGCCGCGCCCAGGGCTGGTTCCGGGGAGGAGGCGGCGCCGAGGAGCCGGCGGTGAGGGCGGCTAGCTGGCATCTTTCGGCAGAGCAGCCTCGCGCGTCGGGGCTCAGGAGACGCGTGCCGTAGGGGGCAGCGAGGGCTGCCGAAAAGGACCCTTCAGGGTCCAGAAGGGGGCCTATAGGGTCCGAGTAGGGTACCTTTCTCCCCCCCCCCATGTATCGCCCCCCCATCAATCGCGCCCGACCGAGTCGGGGTCCTTGGGACGGGGAGCAGTGCAAACAGGAGTCCGCCAGAGCGCAGGATCTTGCAGGATCCTGCAGGGCCAGGGGTGCACCGACCGGGGCTTGGGTTCAGGATCCTGCAGGATCCTGCCGGATCTCCTAAACATGCGACGTCTTGATTTTTTCCATACGCGGTCCCGCGAAGTCCCCGCCCTTTCCTTAGGGCCGTCGTTTCATCCTGAGTCAATGTTTGACGGTCCTGGGGCCTGGCGAGGGTCCCCGGAGGCCGAAAGTGGCCAAAATCCAATGTTTTGTTTGTGGTTTCCCTCTCCTCCGACGCGATCGTGTGTGGGTTTGCGGGATCCTGCAAGGCCTGATTGGCTCTGGATTGAGCCGGGCCAGTAGCTCCCCGAGCGAAGCGACCGGCGGGAGCGCGGCCGCAGAGGTGGTCCTCGCCAGCGACCTCGCCTTCGCGGCTGTGCACACCGACAGGCCCCGGGCGACCCCGGGCCTCTCCCACAAGGGGTGCCCTGGCGTGCCCTGGCGCCGCTGGCAGAAAATCGCGGCGAGATGTTATAAAACAACAGCAGCCGCAACAACAGCAACAGCAACAATAATTTTAAGACTGTTCGCTCATATCTGATCACATGCCAATCAATACGTATATCCCAAACCTTCGGTACCCGCCCTCGTCGTCTTCGATTGTATCCCCTTGGGGGTATACCTTCCTTTCGTGCCACGCGCATGTAGTGTAGCCACCAAAACAAGGGACGAGAGGACGGGTTGAGGGGGGAGGGGGAAGAATGGAACACGAGAGAAATTAGGAGGAGGGGGGCAAAGACCAGAAAACAAGTAATTTAACCAGACTGGCAGATCGGGTGGGCAGACCCATAGCGGGCAGGTCGGGAAGGCGGGCCCAGGTGACTAGGTCAAGCAGGCGGGTTGCTGAAGCGTGGGTCCTGCATGAATCGCGAGGGGGTCTCGAGCGATAGCGCGATTCCCACCAAGTAAATCGTGAGAAAAGCAAAAGCGAGAGCGTGATTCCTGAGTGCCGAGGGCGCATCGTTTGAATAAATTGCGAGGGCGTCCCACGCGAGAGCGCGATGCGTACATGAATTGTGAGGAAGTCCCGTGCGAGAGCGCAATTTTGGAATGCATTGTGATGAAGGAAGCATCAGGCGGGGGCCGCTGTTGTTGTAAACTGGGGGCCAGGGGCCCAGTTTGAGTCCCGTGATTTTCCCTGATAAAAAAAACAGGGTGCGAGCCCCGAGGGAAGCACTTCAATGGACAAAACGCAATGGTCACCAGAGGATTCTTATTCCCCATTATGAGAGGTGAACAACACCACCGACAATAATTTATATGACTGTTCGCTCTTACTGCCACGCGTGTCTTGTATTCTGTATACCCCAACCCTCGGTACCCGCCAACTCTTCGATTGCACCCCCTTTCGGGGGAATATCCTTCTTGTCGGCCACTGACTGAAATACGAGGAACTCTCGAGCGAAAGCGCCGTTCCTGAGTTTGGAGGCCCCTCTGGCGAGGGGCTTTCGGAATACATATTGGGAAATACCAAACTGGAGCCCTTGCTGCCGTGTTTGGGCCTCCACCAGCTTGCCTGGAGAGTCTCAAGCGGGAGCGCCAGTCTTGGGTTCGGGGGCCCTTCTGGCCAGGGCATTTGGGAATATATTTTGAGGAAGTGTCGAAAGAGAGCCCTTGTCGTCGTAGTTGGGTCTCCACCAATTGATTGAGTTGCGGGGAAATCTCGACGAGAGAGAAAGCGCCGTTCCTGAGTTCGGGGGCCTTCCTGGCCAGGGGCTGTCGGAGTAAATCGTGAGGGAATATCGGGCAGGAACTCTTTTCGTCGTGGCTGGGCCTCCGCCAACTTGATTGAATTTCGAGGAAGTCTTGAGCGAAATCGCTGTTGATGAGTTCGGGGGCCTCTGTGGTCAGGGTGTCTCTGGGTAAATTGTGAGGAAATGTCGAGCGGGAGCCGTTGTCGTTGTAGCCGGGCCTCCAAAGGCACACATTTACAATCAGGCCCGCGCTCGAGCGGGAACCTCGTTTTCAAAGGGGTTGCACCCAGCGTCGAGGCGAGAGCGCGCGGAACCGTACAACAGTAACAGCAAAAACAACACCAACAACACCACCTTCAACAGCAACAACAACACCAATAACACCAACAACACACAAAGCAACAACAACACCAACAACAGCAGCATCTGTCAGATTAAGACTGTTCGCTCTTATCTGTTCGAGTGTCATACGCGTATTTCCCAAACCCTCGATACCCGCCCTCTTCGTCATCGATCGTACCCTTTTTGGGGGTATACCTTTCTTTCCTGCAGGCCGGGCCCCGGCAAACGGCGGGGCGGCCGCGGACCGTCGGCCTGGCCAGCGGCAGCGCTGATCGGCGGCAACCCGACCCCAAGAAGGACGGACAAGGGACCGATCATGACGACGACGAGCGAAAGCGAGAGCGAGAGAGAGAACGACAGCAGGACCACGAAGGGCACGAAGTAGACCACGAAGGGCGACAGCGGGGATACGACCGGAATGCGTTTGGGGCCACGAAGAGCGCGAACGAGCGGGGGCCACGAAGGGCAGATGATGCGGGGCAACAAAAGGCAATGGCGGGGCCACTAAGGGTAGCAACTGGGCCACGCAGGACAGCGAAGGGGCCGCAAAGGGCGACGGCGGGGCCACGAAGGGCATGCGCATGGGGCCACGGCGGGCGCGAACGAGCGGTGGCCACGAAAGGCATGCGCAAATGGGGCCGCGGAGGGCAGGGACGGGGCCACAGGGCAACAACGGGGCCACGAAAGGCAGCGAAGGGGCCGCGAAGGGCGACGGCGGGGCCACGAAGGGCATGCATATGGAGCCACGACGGGCGCGAACGTGCGACGGCCACGAAGGGCATGCATAGATGAGGCCACGAAGGGCATGCACATGGGGCCACGAAGGGCTGCAACGGGGCCGCGAAGGGCAGCGAGGGGGCCGCGAAGGGCAGCGAGGGGGTCACGAAGGGCAGTGATGGGGGCCGTGACAGGGCTGCAACGGGGCCACGAAGGGCAGCGAGGGGGCCACGAAGGGCTGCAACGGGGCCACGCTGGACAGCGATGGGGCCACGAAGGGAAGTGAAAGGGCCGCGAAGGGCAGCGATGGGGGCCACGAAGGGCTGCAACGGGCCCACGAAGGGCAGCGAGGGGGCCACGAAGTGCTGCAAGGGGACCACGAACGGCAGCGATATCCCGATTCCCGAGTAATTTGCGAGGGATTTCCAAGCGCGAGCGCCACTCCTGGGCGCCTGGGTGTCGGGAGCGCGGCGTTTGAGTAATTTGCGGGACGTTCCAACGCAAGGGCGCTCTTCTGGAGTATATTGCAAGCGAGTCTCCAGCGAGAGCGCGACTCCAAAGTGCCGAAGGGGCAGTCTTGGTGTCCTCTTGGGCCCAGTTGGACGCTGTGAAAGCCGAGGATGTATATATATATATATATATATGTGTGTATAAATATGTGTATATAAACATATATATATATATGTACATATATATATATATACATATACGTAAAAATACGTACATACGTACATATATATACACATATACAAGTGGCACGTGTGTGCCCAGGCTCATACAACAAGCTGAAGGGGCGTTTGAAGCAGGAGTGACATGCAACAGCGAAGTCGCACTCGAGCGCAAGTGGGGTTGCCACACCTTGCGATGTGTGTACCAGGGCCCCCCAGGAAGCCTCAGGAGGCCCGACTTGGATACCAGGAGAGGCTCCAGGAGGCCCCAGGATTGTGAGTGTTGTGTGTGTGTGTGATGTGTGCTTTGTGTGGTGCGTGCTTTTTGCGTGTTGTCGGTGTTGTGTGTGTGTATGTTATGTTTGTCTAGCGTGTGATGTGTTGGGCGTGATTTGTGTCTCTGTGTGTGCATGTAGTTCTGAAGCCCCAGGAGGCCCCAGGAGGCCCCAGGAGGCCCCAGGCGGCCTCAGCAGGCCCAGGAGAACTCCAGGAGGCTCCGAGGCGGGGTCTGGGGTACCAGAAGGTCCAGAAAGCCCCAGGAGGCCCCAGGAGGTTCCAGGAGGCCCCCAGGAGGCTCCGAGGAGGGGTCTGGGGTTCGATTTTGGGAGGATGTCTCAGGCGAAACCGCCATTCTCTGAGAATCGGAGTCAAAATCATTGAAATTACCATGTGTTTTTGAAGGTTTTATGATAACATGTTGGAAATCCGATGTGTTTTTGGACCCTGACGTCACGATCTGCGTGAGGGGTGCCACCGATTTTCAGAATTTCGAGGATGTCCCGAGCGAAACGGCCAGACAAATCGCGAACGACGGACGCATCAATCGCCTCTGAGCTCTACTCCCTCGGAGAGGTGCGTATGAGTATATATATATATATATACACACATATGTATATATATATAATTATGTATATGTGTGTGACGTGATTTGAAGTGAATTGTGTCTCGTTTTTTGATTGCGCGCGACCGTGCGCTGTATGGGTTCAATTTTTTTCGGCGGGACTCACGTTCGCGCGTGGCCGCTCCCTTGAATCTGGTCGGGATTGGCGCACACCTCGCGGAGCTGCGGCTGCTGCGAGGTCACCCTGGCCCCTCTCTCCCGCCGTGCCCGGCGCAGACTTGCTCGCTCACGCGCAGCGGGCCCGCCGCGGCCCGCGCCGAGCCGTTCGAGGCTCACTCGCCAGACGGGCCCGGCTGGGGCGCCGCGTGGCTGGCCGCTGCGCTGGGGGCGGCGCTCTCCTGGGTTGCGGGGCGCTTCTGGCCGCGGCCTGACGGGCGGCCCGCCGGGCCGGCGCCGCCGCCGCCGCCCCCGATCGCCGCGCCTGGCGCGACAGGGCTGGCGACGCGCAGTCAGCTCGCCCAGTGGGCGCGAGAGGGCCACGGCGCACCTCGCCCTCGACCTGCCCGAGCCGCAGGTGCTGATCGACTATCCTGACGATGCGGCGGGCCTGCGGTGGCATCGTGGATTGCTGCTCGTCCCAGTGGGCCCAGGCGCGTGGATAACGAGCACGCCCGACTACTCGGTTCAAAGGCCCGACTTGAACGCCTTCGCGCGGTCGCGCTGGGGCGCAACAGCCCTTATCCAGCCGCTCAGTGGAACGCGTGCTACGTGTTCGACAACCCCGTGCCCGCCGCCGACCTGGCGCGTGTTCGGCAGCAGGCGGCTTCGCTCGCTCACGTCTTGGGCGCGGCGGCGCCTTCGGCTCAGGCCCCTGGAGCTGGCGCCGGAGTCTGGCGCGTCGCTGAGACCTCCGCTCGCAGTTTTGGCGACGAGGTGCCGAGTCAGACTCTCTCGGGCGCGACTGCCTCCATGGCGCCCGACGCCGCCGGCGATGGGGATTGCATCAGCGGGCTGGTTCTGATCGACAACTGCTGGACCCTCTGCCAGCTCGTGATCGACGAGGATATCGGCGCCTGGGGCCTGGGAGCCCGCGCTGGTTTCGGGCCACATGCGAGACTCTCCGGTCACTGGAGACGTCAGGGGCCCGATCGCAGGACAGCGCTTCTTGTCCTTCACCGAGTCGCTGGGCCTGCAGCGCACCGCCCCTCAGCCACCCTTTCCGCTGGGGGGTCAGCGGGTGGCGCATGACTTCGCGCGGGCCCTGCGCGCGACGGGCATGGATCGGGCCACCCGCCATCTGGACTTCGTTCACAAGTCGGGCATCTCGCCCAAGAGCAACCTCGCGCGCGCGCGCGCCATCGGACCACCGACGCCCTGCACGCCTTTCAGCAGCAGGACCAGCTGAACCTCCCGAGCCTCGCAGGCGTCGAGGTTCTCGCGCGGTGCCCGGCGCAGATCGAGATGGCGGTGGGCCGCGGCCTTCGGGGCCCAGACTTCCAGGACCTCGACGCCGTGGTCGCGTCCACCGTAAACGAGCAAGGCGGCCTAGTCCTGCCGGAGTGACTCGAAGCACATCGCGCAGATCCAGAAGGACGAGGCCTTCACGCTGAAGCAGCAGCGGCAGTGCGGCGAGGAGCAGACCTCACGCGCCCCAGGCCGCAGACCAAAAATCTGCGCCAGTTCCTCCCCTGTTTCCTGTCTCCAAGGTGGATCTCCTGGACACTGCTGACGCTGCTGCCGTGGTGGACGCACTGGAACGCCCGTAAGTCGTTTAGGCTCGGGGGGCGCGCGGTCGGGCCCCCATCCCCCCCCCCCCCCTCTGCTGCTTTGGCCTGCGATCGCTCGCCGGGGTCACGCCTGCTCTGCCCTATCCTCTTGTCTACTAAGGCTGCAGCGTTTAGCTGCCGCGACGGGCATGGCCACGGAAGCAGCATGGGGCAGCAATGGGGAAGCGCACGTTTCGGCTCGCTTTCTGGCGCAGGGGCTTTGCGACCCAAGTGGGCTGCGGCGGGACATCGCTACTGGACAGCCCATGTTCGAGCTCCGTTGCATGCCGACGATGGTTCGGGGGCCCATGCAGGCATGGGGATGGCTGTGCGAGCCCTGCCAGATGCACGCGTGGGATAAAGCTCACTTCTGTGGAGATCATCACAAGGAACTGATCACTAAACAATGGAAGCACGGCTGGCCAGATCCGAGTCAGTTTGACTCACTTGGGAATCTGTGGACGCGCACCAACGGCACATGCACCGACAAGGCCACCGGGAAACACATCACACGACTCAAGTGGGATGGATGGGAGCCTGAGTGGAAGGCCGCTCCAGCCGACTGGGCGAAACGGGGACTACTGGGCCCGCGGATTCCGATGTGCTGCGGCCGGGACATGCTATTCCCACCAGATTGGGGCCACGTTCCAGTCCTCAACCCCACGACCTACCAGGAGTCCACTGCTATGCCGCCACTCGGAGTTACCGGGGACAAAGATGACGTCCGCCCACCAAACGGCGCCTGGGCCCCCCTGGCGCACCAGCGCACCCTCGAACACGGAACACCGGGACAACGAGTGAACCCCAAGTATTGACCGCCGACGGCATCGCTCGCAACGTGAAGGCAGCGCAAGCAATGCCACCACCAGGGCCCTCTGGCGCCTCGCCAGTCGCCCCCCCTCAGGAAGTGGCCGCCTCGGCAGCTGGCACTGGCAGCTCAGGCGCCGCTGCGAGCGCGGCTGGCCCCAGTCTTCACGGCGCGCCTGGCATCGTCCCCAGCCGGCCAGTTTCCTGGGCACAGAGCAACTCAGGCCAATCAGGTGCACCGTCTGATCCGTTCACCGCACCGGGCTTCACAGGCAGCGGGGGGCCTGACACCGCTGTCACTACGGGTCGTGGACGAGAAGCCGCTACTGAAATAAAGTCGATCTACCGTCTCCAGTGGGACCGTGGAAGACAAGCGACCATCCCCTCGATTCCCATTGGAAGGGCGCCCTGTGGAGTCACTCCGCCTAACACCTGGCCAACGGACGCCAAGGAACACGTCGCCAGACTTGTTCGGATGAGCCAAGTCGAAATGCGTGCCAACTTTGACCCAGACGATGACGGAACAACCAAGACTCGTAGGGACTTGAAAGCCAAGCGCTCCTGCGCCTTAGACGCTTGCTTGGAACTGGCGACACCAGTGCGTCGGCACTGGTGCATTCAAGAGAACAAACTGGAGGATTGGATCGAGGAGAGCGACGCCACGGACTACTTCGTGGTCAGCTGGGACACCGAGGGGCAGCTGACAGCAGACTGCGGGGATGAAGGACTACGAGCGGTGCTGCTGTCATACAAAGGACCCAACGCCGACGAAATCGCCTGTCTCTGCGTGGTCTTCCCTCGTTTCCCCGGGCGGGTTATCCCAGACGACAAGCGGAGGTTCCATCCGGGTTGTCGAGTCTACCCAGCCAACGGCTTCTTGGTCAAGCATGACAAGGTCGACGGGCCCTGCGTCGCACCTCTGCTGTAGCGCCGCTGCCAGCCAAGCCAGGGGCGCCTCGCGATAGCCGCGCCCAGTGCGACCCAGCACGAAAGGGTTAAAACCGCCCTGTCGAACATGTACCAGTCCGACGTACACCGGGACGATCCATGGGGGACCACGCTTACTGCGTTGCCTTACATGCTGGCCTTGGGGACAGACGACAGCGGGAAGAAACGGCGTTCCAGCGACACCTACGGGAACGCACCACGCGGACACTTTCTGCGCCTCCGAGGTTGTGCAACGCTCGAGGGCCCACCGCTGGGTCCTGACCGCGCTTTGGCGACCCGGGGGGCCGGCAGGGCGCGTTGGAACCAATCGCGGTTCTGCGTGGCACCACGCCAACAACGCGCCCGCTGAGGACACCATCAAAGGGGTCATTGCAGCACGCGACCGCAGCGACGACCATGCGCGGGCACTCCGCTCACCCGCCAAACACCTCGTCGCGGCGGTGCAAGGCCCACTAGGCACCAGGAAAATACGTCTCGCAGCCGCGCTGGCAAGACTCTGGGCACGCGTCGCGGGACTTGGCCCCACCATTCTCGCCGTCGCCGGCCCCGACACAGCAGCAGACCAAACGGCCGTCGCCTTAGAAACAGCGCGCAGGGAGGGCCGCCTCGTCAACTTTCCGCAATGCCCGAGCTGTGCTGCGCGACTAGCAGAGGACGAACGCATCGCACATCCGGGCGTTTACAAGTTGTCAGCCACCAGCCACTATCGACGCGCGTGGAACACCGAGCCCAGCAGGTCCAACAATAATGAGGACTGGCGGAAGGTCAGAGATGACCTCAGCAGCAAATGCAGCATCATCATTGCGACCCACGAAGGTTCCTGGAGGCTCGACCAGCCCAACGCACCCAAGGTGATCCTGGGTATCATCGACGAGGCCGGCCAGGTCAACGAGGTCGTTGCTGCTGTCTCCATCGGCATCATGGTCGACTGCGGCCCTCACATCGTGCCCGTGGACGATCCCGAGCAGCTCCCGCCCACAGTGCAGTCCCGGTACGCAGAGTACTTGGGGTTACAAGTATCCCATTTCGAGAAAGTTCAAGACTCCCTGGGCGAGGACAGTCCTGCCACGGTACTGCGCACAAAGTGCTTTGGATGCCGCCCCGACGTCCTTGGTTTCCCCAGGTTCGCTTACCACGACAAGAAGATCGAGTCAGGCCTCGCTACGCCACTACAAGACCGTCCCATTGTCAACGGGCTTCCTTGGGTCACGCACCGACCGCTGGACACCGAGCGACTGGAGACCGTCGCCAAAAAGCGAGGAAAAGACGTGGACGAATTCAGGTACGATATCTGCGACTTACACACCGATGCGATGACGTCTGGAGACGTCCACCGCGCGCTCACGATTGACAATCCACATGCGGACATTACCTCCAATGCCAAGAGCGGCTACGCCAACATCCACGAGGCTGCCACTTGCCTCGAAGTAGTGCTCGCTTGTCCCCGCCGTTCGCGACGCTGGACTCACTGTCAAGGTGATCGCCCCCTATGCGGTGCAGCGGGCCGTTCGTTCTGCACGGCGGGTGGCCACTGGGCAAGATTGGCTTCTGGAAGAACGCTGCGCTGGTTGAATCGAAGCAGAGGAAGAAAAGCCAAGGCACTACAGCGGCTTCCGTGCCAAATCCACCGGGTCAGTCACCCACTCCTTCCTCCCATCTTGATTTCCAACCGCGCGCGGTTAGCGCGCGCGCCCGCTCTGCCCCTCCTGCCCGCGCCTCTGGCCTGGGCGCCGGCTGCCCGCTCGATGGCCCCCCTGCAGCCGACAATGGGTTGGCACTTTCGCTCGTGGGATTGGCCGGAACGTTCCCTGACCTGATGGAAACTGGTCAGCTCTCTCTCCATTACTGGCGCCAGTCAGGGAGGAAAAGCGGACGTAGTCATTTACCTTACCACGCGCTCCAACGGGTCTTACGACTGTCTTTTTTCAATGCGCCAAACAGGACCAACGTTGCCTTGACCAGACAAGCGGTTCGTGCTCCTCATCGGTGACCGACGAATGTTCAAGGCTGCGACTGAGTCTGCTCTTTGAACCCTCGCCGGATACGGGATGGCCGCAAACCTTTGGTTGAGACCTGCCTCCGCCGAGCCTCGGCAGGTGCGCAGCAGGGAATGGAGGCCCTTTAGCTCACTAGCACGCTGGGATGCAACTGCTGAAATCGGCACCGCCATGCCGGGCAGCAACCCACTCGCAACAACGCCGAGCGCTGCATCCAGCATCCAGAAGCAGAAGGTTAGAATGCGAGGGGGTCAGGCCACATGCTTCGTCTTCAGCATCGACAGACCGCTACAGGAAGGGCTTGAATGGGAAACCTTGGCAAAGCAGCTCAACGACTCGCTAAGGGCGCTCCTGGCCGCGCCCGCTCTCTCCCTGTCCTCTCCCTTGTTTCTGGCCTTCACCCGCGCGCCCTGAGCCCCGCGCAACCTCCCAACGATCCCAATCTCTACGGCAGGAAGATGTGGAGCCACAAAGGGTTTTTCTACAGTGTTCCGGTCGGAATGCATGCCGGCAGCTTGACATGCAACATTCTCTGGGCGCGCTTGATGCGCGCAGTCGGGCTTGGCCACAAGTGGGGCGGCGAGAGCACCTCGCTCGCGGTGGCCAACCAGCCTGAAAGACCAAAAGGCTGTCTACAGAAACGCGCATTAAAGGACTGTCGGGGCTCGGCAGCTGGCGTGGACAAACAGCTACCCACGGTATGGAGCGCCACGACGACACAGTGTCCAATGCACCAACTTTACCCAGGGATGGACGGCCTGGAAAACATCATCCAAGGCGACTGCATGCCCACTGACCCCACCGCGCGCGCTCTGACCTGCACGGCACTCGTGATGATGGTGCTAGCGCTTCGGGAACCAAGGACCTGTCTCTTCCCATTCTCCAAACAGGAAGGGGCAGGGGATATCGCGGAGGCCGTCCTGGGCAATTCCAACCCTGGCAGCTCAATTGGCACCGCATCCTTTGAAAAAAGATATTCATTTTTCGGACGCAGCTAGGCCTGACATGGAAGATTTCCCATCACGACTACCAAAACCTGCACCGGAGATTCACTGACGCGCTAAGACACGTGGGCGTGCGTAGAAGTACCAGCCGCCATCACGATGTCTCGAAACAAGCAGGGTGTCCGTCAACGTGGGAAGAATGCAAGCGCTTTGACTTTCGCATCAAAGGGGTCCTGCTGGTGATCGACCAGCTTATTGAACCGCTCCAATTACCGCTGGCCCCCACCAGCGACCAGCCTGACAGCGAGACGACCAGCTGCATCATCTGCTGGCACTGCAAATCCATCACAGGGAATCACAAGCATCGGGCGCACGCCGGACCAGAGGCTGCACTATGCTGGCACAGGGCGAGCGATGGACCAACGGGACCTTCTCATACCTGGATTCCCTAGAGCGAAACTGGGCGCCACAATGACCCCGAAAAAGGCCCCGAGCAGGGGGCCAGCGCTTCTCGGCGTCACAAAACAGCGCCAGCTTCCACTGCAACGACTGTCAGAGAGGCCCCTCTGCAAACATCGAGGGCACCTGGGAGGACACCGATGCGCGTCAACATCTGGCAACGGCGAGGATTGCAGGGTGGCGCGAGGGACTCAACTGCCGCTGGCTGTGCACTCGGTGCTGGGTTGAGAGCCGCGAGAAGCAAGGTGCTGACGCCCCCGCAGGAGACTCGATGCGCGAAAAGCTGGCCAACCTACGGAATAGCATGCCCGGCAGGCCCACAGCTTTCAGTCTGACACCGCCTGTGCACCTCCCAACAGGGCGAGCCAAAATCGCAAACCCAACCGTCGACTGCTGTACGCAACCTCATTCTCGCACCGGACTCAGCCAACGACCCCAAGGTGACAGGCGTGCCAAATCCCCCAACACGACCTGACGACGACCGCTTCGGCACAGAGGTACTCAAGTCTGGGACATACAGTGCTGCGTGCGACGGCCGCCCAGAGCCCATGCTGCTATACACCTGGAAGCACGTGCAGCCAGCGGTCGGGTGCTTCGTCTGGCGACCGACTCCAGGCATGGAGGACGCAGAGCAGTGCAACCTACCTCCCTGGGGCAACTGGATCGACTGCTGGACGTGTTGCGATTGGAACGCTGGATGGTACTGCGGGAACTTTCTTGCTCACATCTTTGGCGCTGCTCCATCCGTCATCAACCGCATCCTTGTGCGTGACGCGCCATCGATGTATCCGGTCTCCTCCATAGCACGGACATCCAAGAAGAGGAAAGAGGACGCGGGTGGTCTCGCCCTCGCGCTTGGCAAAGACAGAGCGCAAGTACCACGCGGCGACGACGAGCGCGGGTCACCATCGGAGACGCCGCCACAACCCGAACCCAATCCAGAACGAGTTAAAGCAAATCAAGAAAATGTTTCCAGACATCAGGATCCCGCAACTGCCAGACGTGGCCAAGGCAAGACTCGACCTGATCTTCCAAGCGTGGACCGACGACAACAGCGGCACGCCGGGACACACGCCAGTTCAAATGCACCTGCACCTCAGACGCATCAACTCAGCTGCCAACGACATCTTCTACGTGCTGGAGAACCAGTACGAGGTGCCAGACAACGGGTTGGACGTCAACTGGCTCAACGTTCTGGCCTGCTCCACCCTGGTCTGGGCGTTTCTTCCGTCGGGGCTCACTACCGACGGATTGGTGCCAGGCACGGAATTGGGTGGCAGAAGATAGGCCGCTGGACTGGTCGCGCAACGCATCATCGGGAAGGACGATCGGCTACAGAAGCTGCGGGTGGCACACGTCAACGAAACCATTCACGGGGACAAAGACCCGAGGGTCCATAGCACAGACGAACTTGCTCACTGGCTGGCCAGATTTGACATCGAGGACGCCCCCGACCATGTGATACGTCTGGACAACGTTAACTGGGGAACACTGGACACATGCATGCGCCCACGTGGGATTGGACCTCGACCAATCGTCCCAAGCCGTAGCACAGCACCAGACATCATTTCTTTTTCAGCTGCTCGTGGAGCGAATGGCCAGGTTGGCTGATAACGCCAAGGAAAACATCCTGGCCCTGTGCGACCCGGGCTCCCAACGAATACGCGACGAGGAGAAGAGTCTGGACCCCTTGGTCAGCGTGGTCATGAGCGCCTCTCTCGGGGGGCAGTTATTTCCTGCCCGCCCTGGCACGGACTTAAGCGAGCAGCCACTGTCCCGACCTGAAGGTCCACGAGCAGCGACAAGAGAGATCAGGAGCAGCTCAGGAAGCGAGCCTGCTGCCGCCTCAGATGACCCTCAGGGGCCCGGACGGCGATCTCCTGGACTGCGACCCGAGCAAGGCCAGCGAGGGGCCTGAAGCGGATGAAGCGGACGAGGCAGAAGAGCCTGAAGGAAGCCCAGTTACTGGGGAGGGTCACAACACCGGGATTGCTGATGATGCAACGCCCAGCGCCACAGACGATACACCCCCGCTGTCGAGGAGGCGTGATCCGCCACGCGGAGTTCCACAAAAAGGGCACGTGCGAGGCAGGGAACAGAGCGGCAGACTAGAACAACGAGACGCTCCCATTCAGCGCACCGCTGATGACAGGACTGGTTCCTCGCGCGGACACAGGGGCCAGTGGAGTCACGACAGGCCCAAAGACCGCCTGGCCACGCAGGCTCGCGACGACGCCTGGCGCCACCTGGACGTGCGCACGGGGAACGACGGGATATTCAATCATGGCAAATGGGTGCCCTTCTCCGAGAACCCACTAATCATCCACGAGCCCAAGAAGAACGATGGGTCCAAGATGCACAAGGCACCACTGCGCACGATCGATGCACAGTACCCCGTGGAGTCCGACAGCGCCTTCGTTTCCAGGATGCAGAGGGAACTAGGCAGCATGTTCAGCGACCTGTGGGTCGCACACTGTGTCAAAACCTGCCCCACTAACGCCCAGCCGACTTTCGACCCAGCGCTGCAGCCGCCAGGTGCGTGCCAAAATTTCATCCACGCGCGGGGCAGCGCAGGCAACGACGTGCGCTGCGCCGACCAGACCATGCGCGCCAAGGCGAACTTTCGCGGCCCAACTGACAGGGCCACGGCAGTCAGTAACGCCTCCAGCGCAGGCACTGCCCGCAGCAGCGGGGCCGCTGTCGCCAGGTCCCACGCAGCGGGAGAGCACCCGGGCAAGGGGAAAAGGCAAGGCGAAGGACGGACACGATTGACTGGGCAAGGCTGGGAAGAGGAACCGAGCAACCGAGAGCCCATGGAGCTCATGGAACGAGAAACGGTGTCGACAGTAACACCGAGTGCGGGGCACCACGCAGTCCCGCTGAGATGCGGCTTTGACATCGCACCGGGTATGTGGTGCACCTAGAAGCCCCAACTGCTAACTCTCTTTCCTATTCTTGCGGCGGTTAGCCGCGCTCCCCTGCTCTTCTTGTTTTTCTGCCTCCTACGCA